GCCGAGTTTTCATATAACAATAGTTATCATGTTAGTATTGATCATCCTCCTTTCAAGATGCTCTAAGGAAGGAGGTGTAGGAGCCCGATATGTTGGGGTGAGGTTGTTCAACGAGTGATGGGAAGTACGAAAGTGGTACTCAGGATTATGGAATTGATTTAGCACGTCTGTAATAGACTTCAGACAACACAGAGTCAACAAAAGAGCTATGTCGTTAGACGCCAGCCGAACTTAGAATGCCAAGTTGGGGACATGGTGCTCCTGAAGGTTTCACCTTTGAACGGTGTCATCCGATTCAGGAAGCGGGGCAAGCTGTGCCTAATATATATTGGATGTTTTAGGGTTTTAGCTAAGTGGGAAGGGTTACATATCATTGGATCTGCAAGAGGAGCTCAGTCATATTTATAGCACATTTCTTGTCTCTTACTTGTGTAAATGTTTGGTTGATTATAGTGTGGTCGGTCCGTTGGAGGATATTCAGTTGCACGAGTGCTTGAATTATATAGAGAAGTCAACGGAAGTCCTAGAAAGGAAGACAAAGACCCTTCAAAACAAGGTTATGGATTTGGTAAAGGTGCAATGGCATAATTGAAAAGGGTTAGAACGGAAATATGAGTCTGAAGAGGAGACGATAAAGCATTAACCAGAGTTGTTTACAGAGGCTATCTTCGAGGAAGAAGTCTGATTCAAGTGTGGGAAAATTGTAACACCTTGTTCGGGTAAATTCCTTATTTATTAAGTGTTTATTTGTATTGCATAAAGACCCAATATACTAGGCGTAAGTGAGGTATGATGGGCTTACGTCGAAGTGTCTTTGACACAGGGTTATTCCCTGGTACATTGGACATACGTAAGTCAACGGAAAATCTTAATTCTGTGGGTTTTACCCTATTTTAACACCTTATACCCCAAAGGACTTTCATTATTAGCCTCCATTTCCCTTTTGAAAAATATCTTGAAACCCTAGCCCATTTCTCAAGAGATCGAACCTTGTATGTGTTTTAGTGTGGGTGTGGTGCATACTGAAGAAGGAGAAGCCTTGTAGAGACGCATTGAAGAAGTTGGAGCTTGTAGATCTAGGGTTTATTCACTCCTTTCAACTTATTGGAGGTAGAAAGTCTTGCCTTGCTTACCCTTTCTTCTAAATCTTGAATTGGTTGATATTTTAGCAAATTTTGGTCCCATGAATGGATTCTTGTGAGTAAATGTTACTCCTGAAGTTATGAGAAGTTTTTTTTTGTGTTTTTGAGGTCCTTGGTCCATAACGTTTGCATCTTGATGGTTGTAGATCAACCATGCATGAAACCATGATCTTTCTTGCTACGAAGTAGTACACTGGACATATGTAAGTGGTACGTGGATTGTACACACTAGGGATCATTTTTGAGGTTTTAGACCTTAGGCTTTGGGATATTATTGGGCCTTGGGATCTTTGGACTTGGGAAATTATTTGAGGGCCCTATTAGAGGAAGGAGTAAAATGATCTTTTACCCTTTGGTATGTAAGAGGGTAATTTAAACCATATATGGGTTATTATCCCGAGTATTGATTAAGGTTAATTAGAATGTTCAGTGTGTGGAACCCTAGTAGTAGTAGCATGATAGTGTGATTTATCTATCTTCATACTGAGGTGAATTCTTTCACTACACTCGTGGGTCGAAGGCACCAATGTCAACCCACTGGATTATGCTTGTAGGATGATAGTTGTCTTTGCAACAATTATTGTTATGCACGTATGTGCTTATTGTCTCTGTGACTCTAGCTGATATGATTGTATCTTAGCTATAGGAGGTGAAATAGACCTGATACCGGTTAAAAGATATTGAAGGAGGTGAAATAGATCCAATACTAGTCGAAAGAGACCGAAGGAGGTGAATAGTCCCAATACCAGTTAAAAGTGACCAGAGGGGGTGAAATTGACCCAGTACTAGTTGAAAGAGACCGAAAGAGGTGAAATAGACCAAGTTATGTTTTTTTACTGTTATTGATGTATGGTATTGAGTATTTTGAGAGAAAACTCACTAAGCGTTGTATGTACATTTTATGTTTATGGTTTCAGGTACTTCCAGCTTGAAAGGGTAGGGCCCAACATGATCGCACCACATCCACCTACATTTTATGTATCTTGTGATTTTGGGATTTTCTGCTCTGATGATTATTTGCTATGACATACATGTGTTTGATTTGATAAGAACATTTGATGTTTTGGAATGAAAATAAAATGAAATTTTTGGGATGTTACAATAATGTAAAATATGAAGAAAAAAAAAGTAGTATGTTATAATGGAAAGTGTATTTGTACATATATGAAATATATGTATTTGTATCTATATGTATGTATTTATTGAATGGAACATCACTTAACTTTTAAGGGCATATTTGGAAAGTACAATACTATAATGGAAAAAATGAAAAAAAGTAGGATTATATAATGAAAAAACAAAAACAAATGCGATAAATAAAAAAAATAATGTAAAGTACAATCTAATAATTGGATAAAATATGATACTATAAATAAACAATATATATGCAAAAGTACAATGCTCAAATAGAAAAAACAATATAGTATTTAATGTACAATGTTATCATAGAAACATAAAACAAAAACAAGTCTCATAGACAACAAAAATATTGTAAAGTACAAAGCTATTATAGGATAAAATATGACACTATAAATAAAAATATATATATGCAAAAGTACAATGGTGCAATTAAAATATATATATATATATATATATATATATATATATATATATATATATATATATAGTATCTAAAGTACAATTGTATTATAAAACCTTAAAACAAAATCAAATTACACAAATAACAAGAAAATAAAAAAGTAAGATGCTATAAATGAGAAAAAATATTCTTCCAGATTCTATTTGTTTGCGTGTCTTATTTATAATCATCTTGAGCTTTGAAATAGCCGCCGGAAAATGATTTTGAAATTAATTTCGGGTTGTCCCCGTTTTGGGGCTGCTTTTTGAATACCTTATCTCCTCTAGGATGTGAACGTGTATTACATGATTGTTTGTTAAAGAAATATTCAATTTTCATTTTCTCTTTGCATCTCAATACACACACACACACACACACTAGGGAGCTAAAGGGAAATCCTAATGGATTTTTCTTACACAGATAATCCTATAATACATGTTCACATTTGAGATAAGGTATTCAAATAGTGGGTTTAGAAGCCTATCCTTAGGAATACTCTATCCATTTGAGATAATTTTTTTCATATTTTGGGGATACATTTTTGAATCATCTACATACTCAATACTTTATCTAATTTGTATTCCCTATAAAGTAAACCCTAAACACTAAACTGTGTTTCAGTTGCATCATGCTTGTTGATAAATGTTGGACTACTAATCCACATTATCAATCTCCCAACTTCTAGCTAGGAATCAACTCTTTTGTTGAAAGATTTATTTGACACTTAGATAGTAAAGGTTCAACTAGAATTCTGTGTGAGAAATTTGATAATCGTTACATCATGTATCTGAAATAAATGAGACCTCATGTTCATATACATGGTATCATTCGGTCTAACAAAATGTGGACATATCACCGTAAAACTAAAGGTTTGTGTTGATCAGATACACTTCAAGTATAACAAACAAGAATAAAAATTACTATGCAATTAAAGAACATAAAAGTAAATAACACATAAGATTCACCAAATTATCTTCCACCAAGAAAGGGGTTGCTTTCACCAAGAGAACGGGTTGTCACAATAACAATCACCAAGACGCCTACATTAGGGTTTCACCCTAATGTTGAGTATATACTAATACATACAAGTAAATCCCTTAACTGATAAGTTTATATCTAATATATACTAAGACATGATCTTACTAAGACATGATCTTCATAACAAAGATATTAGATCTGCTATATATTTCAAAATTTATATTTATCGTTACCTAATATACAAAGTTTACACAGGATAATATGACTACACTGTGACAGTTGATGGTGCTGATGCTGATCTTGACGTTGGTGTTAGTAGTTAGCGTATAGAGTGTTTTACTCATCAGTTCATAAGGTGTGACCTTATAATCTTCCCATATCTGATGATGTCAAAACTAATCTTCTTCTTCAGACTCTTGAGAACCATTAAAGAACTTGCTAGCTTCTTTCAATATGTCATGCTTAACTCATATGATTCAACAATTTTAAGTTGTTCCACTCTTTTAGTTAGCTCCAGAGAGATCACCACACAATATCCTCTTTTTAGTTAAAAATGGTTGAGTCCTTCCATCCTAAGATGAAATAAGTGTTCAGTAGGAGCAACATGAATATCATCAATGTGTTGAGAGCACATGTGATGTTGACTATCAAGATAGAAAATGCCATTTTCTGGTTCTCGAATGAACATTTCATGAAGTGGTTTAACACCTATTGGTAGTTCATTGTTAGTGTACCGAGTGCCACAAGGAAGAAGAAACTAAGTATTCTTACACTGTCTTGGGTTACTATTCTTCTTGACGTAGATGGTCAAGAGGGACCAGCTGATGGCACAAGATTCAGCTTCTTGAATTTGTTGAGTAGCTTGTTGATCATTTCTTGAATCTATACCCACTCGTTGTAGCCAAATTTTACTAACTCACGAGTAAATACAATCTCAGTGTATTCATACTCAGTCCAATTCCTACCCAAGTGAAGCTTCATTGACGCGTTCCATGGATTAGTGCATCTTACCTTGATATTGGCACCATGCTTTATTCTATGAGTCAAAACATCTCCAAACTTCTTTTGATTGATACTATCTTTTATTCATATAACCCTATGTTGTTTCTCCACACGTTTATTAATGATTTGAATTTTCATGACTCGATCATTAGTACTTTGAACTCATCACTTTCATCAACGGAAGCAAGAGCTTGACAAGTGTGGTAAAACATATGTTCTTCTTTTCTAGCTTCTTTTCTTTCTCGAATAGCAACATTATTCTCTATCATGATTTATCTCACTACATTAATAGTTATACCTCATACCGCAGCTAAAACATTCAGATAGAAAAAGAGCTTGATTTTCTTGGAAAGAGGAGGTGTTGAAGGATCTTCATAAGCAGAAGAACTTTCAACTTTATCATCATGAGCTCCCCCTCCCCCTCCCCCACCCCCACAGAAAAAAGGAATCCTTCCTCTTTTGAGGGTTGATTTGATCATTATCAGACTCAATGTCACTATTAGTTCCCTGAGGGATCCCCCACGAAATATGAGTAAGATTAAACATTTAGAGGAACCACGGAAACAAAAGCTTATTGCATGAATCCTGGATCAAGAAACCCTTCATCGTCATCAGATTCTTATTGATTACCTATTTCTGGAATAGGCTTCTCATTAGTTGTTGCATCAGCGTCTAGGATGTCAGCAAAAACAATTTCCTTTTGAAAGTTAGCTTCAAACCTTCCAACTTCATACATCTCATACTAAGATGGACTTGATGGAATCACCACCATTTGCATTTGTTGATTAGGACTATTTGGTTACTCTCCCCTTTTTTGGCAGGATCAGATTGGGGAGGAGAACCCTGAGGAGTGCAAGGAGAGGAATGGGATGGTGGAGGAGGTGTAGGTGAATTTGATGATCGAGGTGGAGTTAGAGGAGGATAATAAACTAGATAATTTGGAGGAGTATCTCTAATAACCATATCATCAATATCATCATCAGCTAAAGCCATAAATCTCTTGATATCAGCCACATCCTATTCAACTTTAGACAATCTATCTCCTCACAATTGACTTATTTTCACTAGTATAGAAAGTTTGGAGAGTACAGTTGTTTCAAAGTTGGAGCTTGATTCCCCCTGATAAACAGTAGTAGTGTAAATACGTGTTGGCATAAGAGGAACATTCTTAGCTTAAGGAGAAAGAAACACTGGTCTTAGAGAGACCTCATCTTTGATCAGTGGCTCAACAGTTACCACTAGAGCTGGAGTGGATCCACGTTGCACAATATCATCTAAAGAGGTAGTGGATGAAGAAGTCGTTGAGAATAGAACATTCTTGTACATCCTTGGAGTAGAGTTCATTCTCTAAACAAAGTCTTCTATGTCAGTAACAAGCGCATATTCTTCAACCTCAACTTCTTATTATTCATTATAAGTGCCTTCCTCATCATCATCCTCTTCTTCAAAGTTACAGGATTCAACCATATAGGGTTTGTCAATCCATTTTTTCTTCCTTGTAGTAATATGTAAATCATCTTCAGTAGGAGTAGTGTTGACGATCTTTAAAGAAAGGGAAAGAATAGGAATGGATATCCCATGATTTTTAGAATAGTCTTCATCCCGAGCCTAGATTAATCCAAGCCAACGAGGATAGGGAACATACACTGGCTTCTTGTTCCTAGTTTTGCAATCAATCACTTGATCAAGAAAATTTTGAAAAAAATCCAGTATTTTGGTGTACACAATGGAAAACAAAATTCTTTTCTTAAAGGGTTTTAATTGATCCAAGCTCCAAGTCTTGTGTCCAAGGACCTTGCTAATAACCCATGTTAAGTACTTCAATCCTACACAAAAACACCGACGAAGAATGTATTTGTATGGATCATGAATGTTTCTCTGAAGATTAAGATTAGGCCCTAATCTTTCAAGAACGGACTCACACTTTTCTTCCGATGGAGGTTTAGAGTAATTTTCTAATAGAGGAAGACGAAGAGAAGTTCGAAAAGATTCCACATCAATAGTAACCCAATATTGACCATCTCTAGTGGTTCCAGTATTGGTTTGGGCATCAGAATCAACACAACATGAATAATATAACTCATATACTTGTTTAGGGAATATTGGCTCTGGGAAGTCACAAAAGTCTTATCGAAGAGGGCAACTTTTAACATAGTTCACGAAGTCTTCGATTCCTTAGTTCACGAACTGCTTTGGATGTCATCGGAGAGTACCACATTGTTTGCTTGAATGATGATGGGAGAATCAGGGGCATGAGGATCTTTGATGACATTAGCTTTAAGGTAAACTTGTCAAGAGCCTTTGACTGTTTGAGAGATTGAGGAAGATGAATGTTGAGATAGTCTTTTTTTTCTCGAGAGAAAGCTAATTGCTTAAATAGCTTGCAAAAGTGACCTAGGATGGGGTTTTATCAATTTATAGAAAAAAGTTTCTTCTTTTTTACATAATCATGATATAAGATATCTCCGCCATAAAAATCACACATCCCAAGATATTAATAGACCTTTTAATCGTCGCCTAAAAAGTTACCGTTGAGAAAAGGAAAGTACATCAATTAGATATAGCTTCAAGAACAATGGTCATCAGCGAAAGAATTCAACATATCAAAATTGCAGCTTATAAACCAACAAGTTTGTGATGTCTCATGATAGTGTTGGCTTCAACTACCGTTCATTGACATAGTATTACGAGATCTCATAAGTATGTCGTTTCATACACTGACTCATTAATCATTTTTTTTAGAAGAAAAGGAAAATATTGGTATGATGCATGTGATAAGTTGTAGTTTTTTAGCTTAACCATCGTCATGGATTTTTCAAGCTCTCATCAACATGTGGTATATTATGATGAATCATAAGGTTCTAAAGAAGAAAGTGATGAGAAAATGGATTGTTTCTGTCAGATGAGGTGGAATCAGTGTGAATCATTAACAATGATAAACCACCAACAAGAAATCGTCCAATCCTTCCATTTATAGAGTTTGTTGTAGTCTAGAATCAATGATTCATCATTAATTCATTATTGTACCATGTCATACCCTAAACTAGGAAGTCCGTGACATGAATACCCCTTTATTATTTAAGAACTAAAAAAGTAACTCTTGCGCTGATGACTATGCAAATAGGGTAAGCAATTGGGTTATGCTCAATGTTTCAGCAGAACATGAGACTTGATGCATATGAAAAGCATGCTTCTGGGGACAGAGTCAGGTAAGATAGTTAACTAATAATAAACACCCAAGCCTTTCTATAATTTTTTTATATGGACCAGTAAATCTCACTTAGAGAGTGTAGGAAATGCATGAAAATGAATGTGAGGAGGTGACTCAATTCTCTTAGCAGGTGGCCGTGCTAATGAGATATTTAGAGAGATTTCACCACATAGAGCAGCATGCTTATAGGGATGATGATTTTACAATAGTTACATACTTGGATAACGAATTGCCACTGTCAAATCATTTAAAAATGGTACTAAATAATAATGTACAAACAAAATAGTTTGTCAACTAAGGAAATATTCTAAAACGGATATTTTTTCTGCTTTTCAGAAGACTGATAAAGACTCGATCCATCAAATCTCTTGAATTGAATGGCCATTAAATGAACTTCCATTTTTCGAGATATATGCCCCTTTACACTATCTATATAAGAGGGTAAATAAGATCAACCAAATCAAACAAAAACTCAATTCATAGTAAACAAAGAGAGAGAATGTCTTTAATAATTGAGGTTTTGTAGATTCATTCCAAGCCTCATGTGCACCAATAACAAGAGAAGAATATGAACCAACCTTTGTAACTAACAAGTTAAGAGGATATAGTATTTGTAACCTTTGATTTATGAGAGTCACTAAGACAATACTCGAAGGTTCCGCTTTTTCTGATCCTTGAAGGAAGAAAAGGTGGGACCATTGTCTTGTTGAAGACGCCTCTAGATTTCCGGGGGGAGTTGGTGTTGTAGTGAGATATACGCCAAGAAGAACACTTATTGTCACAACTCTCTCCTATCCAATCATATCAATATGATGCAAATAGTCTATAAGCATAAGCATCAACATCAAGGAGAGAGTGGTTAGCACTAAATAAAAGATGCAAAGGCAGCTTCAACTAGCTCCACTAGGAAGGTGTTGCATTCAAGGAATGACACACTAATCCTTTCGAAAGATTCAAATTAGTTCAGGTCACTATGGTGAGAGAAGAAAACTCATAAACAAATGTTAGTAGAATAATGTACATTGTATACTTGTTTGGTAAAATGAAATTTAAAATAAATTTTTAATGCCCAAAATCAAAATAAACTACAGTCGTAGGAACTTATGTTCATAAATTTTAAAGTAGTTAAGCATAAAAACAAAGACATAGAGTAGCATATTCTAAACAAGTAAAATCAAACCATATAAAAGTTTTTCTCCCTGAGTACAGTCATCATAATTTTATTCCCAGAATCGAAAACCTTTCCTTCATGGAAATCAAAGAAAATTTATAACCATCATCGAAAAGTTGAATGATGGAGATAAAATTGATTTTTAGACCCTCGACATAAAGCACATCCTTTAGCTTAATCGTCCTGCACTTAAATGTTCCATTACCCATAATAGATTTTTCACTATTGTCACTAAACACCACCATTTGACCATCCTTCTCTAAAAATTCTGTTAAGAGAGACCTGAAGTTAGTCATAGGTTTAGAACACCAACTGTATACGAACCAAGTATCTTCCAAAATTTGACATGGAACCAGTCATGTGCCTAGAACACTAACTGTCTAGGAAAAAATTATGTTTGAGATTTTAACTTGATTCTTGGACAGCTTGAGAGGTATCAACGTCACTAATGTTATGATTACCATCAAGGGAATCATTGATAATAGCCTTTAGACCTTTAATGTACAAGCCGTCATCTTAAATGTCTCCTATTCTTGTGCCTATTCTTAATGATCCTGTTGTTTTGCAATGAAAGCTTTTGGTAGAGAGATTTTCTCCTTCTTCGTATGAGCTAGCAACTTTTTGTACATAACCTCATAATTCTCAGAACTTAAGCTTCTTTCTTCTGTTTGCAACCGCTGGAAAAATGGTCAAGTCTTTTATAACTAAAACAGTTACATGTGTTTTTCTTTTCTAAAGTGGATCTTCTCACTAAACTACCTCCCTATAGCTGAGCTCTTCGACCACCATTTTATTTGATTTCTTCATAACGTTTGACAATAAAGGCAGCTCTGGCAAATAGCTCATCAATAATATCTTCACCACTCTCTTCACCCTTATTTATTCATCTGATTCGATGAAGTGCTTCATTGCTTCATTTCAAGAAACCAATGATACATAATTTTCTTTGCCTGATTCCTTCATGATATCTTTGTGAAGAGCCTTCTTCACTTTGTAATTTTCAAGGTTTCCAAAAAAGGAGTTCAGATCCATGGAATCGAACTTTTCATTGTTTCTAAGGACATCAACGTGATGTTCCCATCATTTCCCAAGTGAGCCCAAAAACTTTAAACTAACTGAGATGAATTCATGATAACTCCTAGCATGTGCATATCATTAACCAAGTAGTTAAATATGTTAAGCATTTGGGTTAGTAATTCACCTTGTTGAGCAAAGAAGTGCTTGTATCTCCGATTGAAATCGTTGGTGCTTGTGGCTTGTACCTCCATGGTGACTTCATAAGCCATTGTCACTGGCTTTTGACTCAAAGGAACAACGAGAGTATTATAGACCATATGTTGATACATAGAAGTGTGATGACCTTTTCAATAATCTTACACATCTCATAGTCCATGGTTTCAAGAACAACCATTGCCTTAGTTTTTCACATGGTGAAGTTTTGCTCATTAAAAGAAGGAATCTTGTTGAGACCAAAGGATTTGGGATTATTGGAAGTTGAAATGATTACTTGAGTGTGTCAAAAACCCATTTTGGTATCAATTGAAGGTTTGTTTAGACTGGATACACTTCAAGTATAACAAACAAAAACAAATTTACTAAGCAATTAAAGAACAAAAAATGAAATAACATAGAGGATTCACCAAATTCTCTTTCACTAAGAAAGGGCTTGTTTTCCCAAAGAAAAGGGGTTGTCAGAAAGATGGTCACCAAGACGACTACATTAGGGTTCCTGTGACAACTATCAAATTTTGGTTTATCCAAAGTCAAATAAAGTCAACAAGTCAAACTGGTCAACTTAGCTAACCCTAGTATATTAGGGTTTGCATTATGTTTAAAGTTGTACAACTCACCATGTTAATACAGAGTAATCACTTGAAAGTTTCATGCGTTCAGAAATTTTATACCCTGATCAGGATAAGTGATGGAACTACTCGATAAAAACACTATTACATACCCTTCGGG